TTGCTTACTTATTGTTATATGTCGATGACATTATTCTCACGGCCTCTAACGATACCTTTCTCCACTCAGTCTTCAACACTCTTTCAAAGGAATTTGCAATGACTGACTTGGGTAGATTACATCATTTTCTTGGTATTCAGGTGACTCATACAGATCGTGGTATTTTTTTTTCCCAACCGCAATATGTGAATTCTATTCTTGAGCGGGCTAACATGACAGGCTGTAAATCTATCGCCACACCAGTTGATACCACGTCCAAGCTCAGTGCCAGTGCCAGGGAGCCATTGAAAGATGGTACTCTTTACCGTAGTCTCGCCGGTGCTCTTCAATATCTCACCTTCACACGATCGGATATCACATATGACGTGCAACAAGTTTGTCTATTCATGCATGCACCCAGAGAACCCCACTTTAACTTCCTAAAACGGATACTCCGGTACATTAAAGGGACTTCGGATCATGGCCTGCACATTCTTAAGTCCCTCAACCTTCGAATCACGGCGTATTCTGACGCTGACTGGGGGGATGTCCTGATTCTCGTAGATCAACCTCGAGGTATTGTGTCTTTCTGGGGGACAATCTCGTCTCCTGGTCCTCTAATCGACAACCAACTATCTCACGTTCAAGTGTCGAGGCGTAATACAAGGGTGTTGCTAACGCCACAGCTGAAACTAGTTGGCTCARAAATTTGCTTCTCGAGCTCCATGTACCGGTCACCAAAGCCATGCTCGTATACTGTGATAATATTTTCGTTGTGTATCTGTCTGATAACCCGGTGAAAAACCAGCGAACTAAACATGTTGAGATAGATATCCATTTTGTTCGAGAGCTCGTCAAAATCGGTTGAATTCGAGTGATTCATGCGCCCAATGAACATCAATATGCCGATATCTTTACTAAGGGTCTTCCACGACAACTGTTTCAGCGCTTCTGCTCCGATTTATGCATCCGCTCTCCTCCTGCTTCAACTGCCGGGGAGTATTAGACCGTATATATTATTATTATTTTTGTATATTTCTTCCATATTTACTCTCATGTATTTTAGGGTAGTTTGTTGTTATCTTTGTATATATTTGATGGATTATTGCTAATGAAGGGAGATTCTTTTGTCAATCTTTATTAACATCACAACCATCTATTTCCTTATTCAATTCAGCGATCAATTTCCTGGCATCCCCTCAATGTCTAGAAGTATTGGACATTTCACGAGTCTAATGTGGCTTTCAAGACTGACAAACATATGTGATTCTCTTGTCCTACAAGAAAACCTCCATGTTGCCTCTGAAGAGGAAGAGGGTGTTTGAGATTGTTTATAAAAACAACTTATTGACTTATTCCGATGTGTCATCGGTAATAAGGACTTTTAAACGTTTGGATAAACAACTTATATCGGTGTCAAATCGGTAATAAGCAGTTAATAAAAAAGTTAAACCATTTTGACTTATAATAAGTTAATGAATGCTTTTGTAAAAAAACATAAGTTATTTCAAATAAGCAATCCCAAACACCCTGTAAGACGAGTTCCATTGATTTTTTTCTAAAAACTTTCAGTGACAAACACAACTTGTATTTCCTAAAAACATAAAACTAAAATATTTTATTTATTTGAAAGTAGAGAAGGAAAAAAATAAGATGGCGGCGGCTGTGGCCAGCAGGCACTCCAAATAAATGGATTCCACGTGAGCTATTGAAAACCACAAATCTTCTACCCGTGGGTCCCAGTATCCGACGTGGCACCTGCAAGTTGCAAAGCTGGACCAATGAGACGACGGAAACAGATCACACATCGTCGTCTGTCTCTCCTGTCCACGAATCGCTACATACACTCTCTCTCCTCCAGGCCACGTGTCATGCTTATCTTAATCTTTCCTGTTTTAGAAATTTTTGTTAATTTCATTTTTTCCAATTCATCTCTCTCTTTGGCTTCAGGTATACACGCCATTTGTCTCTCTGTTATCAAGAATTAGGGTCTCCTATCTTGAGTTTTATGGTGTGTTTAATTTCCATTTCCGTCGAGTGTTCCGATGGTTCTAATTCTAGTTTTGTTTAATTTCGTTTGTGGTTGAAAGTTAATGCTGTGAAACGTAGACAATGATTTTCGATTGTTTACAGCGGTACATTCTGTTTAGTTAGCAACTCATTTTTATTGTTTGAACCTTTCTCTATAATCTATTGTCCTTTGTTTAACCTAATTGTTTTGGGGTAAAGATCTGTATAGTTGAACTCATTTTCTAAGTATGGTTGTTTTAATGTGATAGATTGGGGCTAATTGGTGTTTTGTTGATATGTTGGACTTGATAAAGGGGGAAACTTTGTTTATTCTTATTCTTGTTTGTGAAGTATGGGATTGGAACAGAGCAATCTGCCTCATGTATTATTGGTGCTGAATAACAAAAGTTGAAGGAATGCTAGAATTCTGAGGGTTCCCTTTTGGTTGATTTTCCTAAAGAGCTTGTTAAATTGATTCTAATACTTTAGTTTATTGCTTTATGGATGTTGGAGCCTCATATTTGGACCATTTATCCTTGGAACATCCAGCTTTTCTCATGGGCTCTTTTGGAGAGTGATGTAAAGGAGGTTTGACTTATTCTCAAATTGGGGATGATTCGATGAAGTGCTAGTAAGAGGATAAGACATGTGATTAGTTAGTGGCAAAATTTCTTGTAAATTATATAAAGGCATAAATTTGTTTATTTAATTATTTATCTTTTGGGTTTACATAAGATTCCAATCAACAAGTGCACAAGTTCTCTTAGTTAGAGTGAGAATCTAAAGGAGTGAATAACATGACATCATCATGTAACCAACCTTGTGTTACAAGAAGGTTCCACTAAAACTGAAGGAGAAATTCTATAAGGTAGCCATCTTACCGGTTATATTGTATGGGTCGGAATGTTGGGCTACAAGGAAGGCCATTGATAGGAAGTTGGAAGTTGCAGAAATGAGTATCATAGGTGGACATATGGTCGGACTAGGTTAGACAAAATTCCAAACGAGGTTTTCTGGGAGGAGTTGGGAGTTGCCTCAATAACGGATAAATTGAGAGGGGAGATTGCTTTGGGTTGGGTACGTTCATAGGAGACCGATATCGGCACCAGTGAGGAGAGTAGAAAGAGTGACGGTCAAGAGGGGTGAGGAGGACGTGGCATGAGCACTTGAGGTTGGACATGGCGGTTTTAGACATTTCCAAGGACAATGATCTCTTATAGGAATATTCGGAGATGGAGGACTAGGGTAGCAGACTAGATTTGCCGATTTGTAGCTAGCGTAGTTGGGTAGAAGGGAGTTGGACATTTTTTTGGGGGGTTTGGGGGAGTAGAGGATCGGTAGTTTAAGCTAGAGATGTTTTCTTTGAATTCTAAGCTAGAGATGTTTTCTTTGAATTCTAAGCTAGAGATGTTTTCAATGTACCTTTTCGTATTTTTTCATTGTACCTACTTGTTACTTTTTCATACTTACTTTGATTCTTGATTCGTTCACCATATGTCAGTCTTTATTCCTTCTACTTGTTTGCTCACAACCGTGGAGAAGTCAGGGCCTTCATGGAAAAAGCCACTCTACCCTTTTGAGGTAAAGGTCAAGTCTACCTACATCTCACTCCAACCCTACTTTCGAGTTGGATTTAGTTTGGTTTGGTTTTAGGTTATTTGTTTGGTTTTGTCAAAACTTCATTTTCTAGTTTGGTAGTTGCTTACAAATACCTGACTGAACCATGGAAAAGGAATAGCATCAGTAAGGAACTGGCTTGGTTGGAGCAAGGACATTAGCTTTTTGAACATCATCACTCATACAACCAAGAAAGTTTTGATGTGGTGTAATGCTTGATTCTAGAGATATTAAAGGACAAGCCAAGTAAAGTTTGAGTATTGAGATTTGAGAAATGCATGTATCTGCTGCTTCTTGCCAAAGCATGAGGAGGAGGAGGAGACATGATAGCTGTTTGTAAACTATATGAGAGTACTTTGAAGCTACACATGGTCAAAGTTACCGTATAACGATGAAAGCATAGGATGCAACACCTATTTCCATGCATATGCACCAGAAAGGATTGCAATCTGGTCCAAGTTGCAGATATTTTAGGAGCTATTTTTCTTAAATGTAGTTATTATGTAAGAGAGGTCATTTACACCCATTACAAGCTTATAATGTCAAACTATAATGAGTTTGGTCTTGCAAAAGCCATGGTTCAAGTTTTCTTCTCTGAATTTTTTGACATGTATATCTTGTAAGTGCAATTCAAACTCTGTTCAGCTTGTATCTCTTGCATAGGAACATATCTTCATGTGATTTTCTGTGGGGCTGAGGTTTAGACAGGGATTTTTGGATCTTTATTGGTGGTCCCTTAATCTATTTGCTTACGTTTGTAGCTGTGTTGGTAGCTTAACATTACAAAACTGAAGTGCCCATTACAGAAATATTTCTCATTATCAACACAGAAAAGTGGCCAAAATAGCTTTATAACCCTTAAGCATACTGAACTAGGCAACTCCCTTTTCCTACAATTTTGCGAAAAGATATAATCAATATCTGATATTGAAGATTATTTCTTTTCAGATAACTTTGTTCAACACTCTTGTAAGTTCCTTTAGCAATGGGAAGGTGGTGGCTGCTGTCCTGAGGTTCTCTGGTTTTTCTTTCACAAATTTGTTACAAAGTATTGATTTTATTCTCTTGTTTTTTGGGGTAATGATGTAATGTGGCCTGCTTTTGGGTGCTATGCTCTGTGTGTGTGTTGGGGGGGGGGGGGGGGGATGTAGTTTTTCTCCTTGTATTTTTACTTTTTCATCTATGCACCTTTCTGTGTACTTTTTTCTATTTTCATCGATCTTGCCTTCTTTTAAAAAATTGTTAGAAAGTAACTTATAATATGTGTTAACTGCATTTATTACAGCTAAATTCTGTAACTGGTGTTACGGCTTGAAGATATTATCTGGGACGACTTAGATCAAGGTGATGATGATATAGTACCCTACTAATCATCATCCCAGGAAGTTCATGTGAGCGATATAGCTGTAAGAAAGAGACTCCAATGCATTAAATATGAAAAGGAACATGCTGCAAAAGGATCTATGGTCTCATACACCTCATGATGTATTTTCTGCTTTATATGATGGTCAAACAGGAAAAGACATGTCTAGTTTGGCATTTGACGATACAAGAATATCAAGTTATTGCTTCAAAAGTAGCAATATCACGTCCAACAGTGAAGTTTGCAAGGATGATCTCACCCTGAATGGAAGCTTGTCTATAGCTGATAGTAATTCCTATGCTTACCAGCTAAATCACATTCCCCCAACCGATGATCTTAACTTTTTCAACAGTTGCGCGGATAAAGAATCAAGTGATCTTTTATATAATGACTGGCCTGATGTAGGGAACTTTGAAGAAGTGGGCAGGATGTTAAGGTAATTATCACTTCAAATGTCAAAGAATTTTGTTTTCTGGTATTTGCCGTTCTTGTTACAAAAACAAAAATTCAAATATACATTTCGTGCAGAAGCTGCAGTTCATCATTTGGACTAGGTGTTACAGGCAACAACGACGAAATGGACTGGTTTACACAGGAAGATTCAACTGTGGGATGTGAAGAAGTACTGAAAATGGATTTTAAGTTTCCATGTTCCGAGACAAGTGCTTTAATAAATATATCACAGGATCATGGAACTCCAGAATCAGATGATAAGAGGTTCGGATACAAATTTGAAAACAAAGATGAGATTCAACTCAAAGATCAGGTTGGTCCAGTTATGGTTAAGACACCAGGCTTGATAAACATTTATTCAGAATAACTGAATCTTTTGTTCTATCTTTCTTGGCAGGGAGTCAAGTCCAAAGGTGTACTTCAGTTAACAAATGGAAGGGGAGCCCACTTCAAAAAGGATAACAGAATGGTATTGTCCAAAGGAGCATAATGTTGCTAACTAATATTTGTTTGTTTTCAATTTCCAGTATAGTATCTTTCATCATTCTGCTCTTTTCATCTTTTTGTTGACTGAGTCTGACTTGTAAATAATATACAAACAAACCATAGTTGAAGAATCACGCCTGTTATATTCTAGGAAAAGATTCCATTGCTAGCCCTATTTACATTATGAGATCATTTTGCTAATGTAGAAGTCAAATACATTCTAGCTCAATGCTTTCTTGTTTATATTCTATATACTTAAAATTCTTGTACATTATTTCTGACTAGATAATTGTGATTATGACCAACAGATTAATTTGCAGAAGAAGCAGCCAAAGTACCATCATACTGAAGGAAAGAAAGAAGGCCAATGCTTAGGACATGATGGTTCGTCTTGTTACGTCTGTGACTTGAAAAACAACAACGTTCCAATTTCTTCTGTTGATGAGTCTTATCGAGTTTTCGCCACCGTAGGTTACCAGCATCAAGAGAGAAACTTAGAGCTTAAGTCTTCAGGATACATGCAGAACAATACTTATCTACATCCAAGTTATGGTCATATTACCAATCAAACTACAGCTTGTCCAGTGCCGACTGGTATGAAATCTGAATGTAATGGTCTTACATCTCCTTCCCAAAAGGAATCTTCCTATGTGTCGAACCAGGTTCATTCAATGGAGACTTCTGGTGATCCTTCACTGCAGGAGACTATTGTTAAAGTTGATGACGGAAGAAATTTACATCAGCTGCAACGATATCAGACCTCATTTACTGGTAGTCCAAGACAAATGGGTATGATGCTGCAGTCTTCAAAATGTGATTTGATTTCAGCCCAAAAGCAAGTCTACATGTCTGCAACGGAACTCAAAAATCGAAGTGATCTAGAAGGATTTCGGCATGGAGCTTCAGCAGAAATAGGTTTGTTAAATGTACCAGAGAGCTCTTCCCTTAGTTCTGGGTCGGATGATATTTCACTAGAAGCTACTATTTTGCTCCAGCTTCAACAGGTTATGGAACATGTATGATGACTTTGCTTTTCTTCAACTAGATATAGTTTTAAGGAATCGTCACATTGCTATAATATAGGTAGGCATGGCATCCATCATTGCATCCCCATGCTACTTTACCTGGACCCTTGCTGTAACATAGAATAAGCAACCTGGTCATTATATCACTATCATTTACATTTCAGAAGTCTTGAACATCCTTATTAAGTTAAGCACTGAAAACAGAGGAATAGGTGTGTCATTTGTGCATCTGGTGCGTGGCTTTGACATTTTCAGAAAGAAAAAAACTGAACTTGGATATGGCACCAAGATAAGCTGTATGTTAAATAAAAGAAGTAACTCAAGAAAGAAACTTCATCAAAGTATTTAAAGTGTAAGCCATATTGTATGAACACATAAATGCTAAGTCTACAACTATGGAAAAAACATCAGCTGAAAAACCCGAAGACAGGAAAACTTCGAAATACCCACAGATGAGAAAAGCTGAAAATTAGGAAACTAAAAATACTGAAACAGCAAAGTATATAGCGGAGAGAAGTAGAAAACAAACCCATGTTTTTGGACTGAATCTGATGCTGTTGAGAAGTATATATATACATGTAAGATTTAAGAACTGGTGTTTTGTTTTCTTTTTGACCTGTGATTTTTGGAATTTTTGGAATTGATAAATCACTTAAGTTAAGCCCTTTAAGGGAACCTACTAAGCTGAGCCTGTTATCCACATCCAAACCATGTGAGCTTTACCTGTGTTGAGTTGAAACCTCACTCGGTTCAGCTAAGACACCCTAATTCTCCAATAAGTGGGTGTTAAAATGTGGTTCTTGTCGTGCCACACATAGGCCATACTTCATGCAATTTACACCCTGTGTGGAAACAGCAACCTTAAGGCAATGGAGTATGTTTAAATCCTAAACCTGCATACTCATCCCCTGTGCATATGTGTGGTGGCTAACATTACGTTTAGCACAATGCAAGAACTTCATTGATATATATAATGTTTTCAAGCTAGCAAAGCATTACCTTAACATGTCTACATCATTGTGACACTAAACTTGCATCTTGGTGCACTCTACATGTGATCTGCTGCCTTAACACTTTTTTCTTTCATCAGCCGATCTGGGACTCTTAACATTTCTTCTTCTTGTGTTTTAATGACATACTTAAAAGATTCTTATGTAAGGCTAGAGAGGAGTTTTAAGACAGAGAAAGGAGCTTTGTGCCTGATAATATTCCTTTCAATGCTTAGATATGTCTTGGGGAGGTCGATGTAGTTTATCTTACTGTATTGTCTAATCATATCAATATGTTCAATGACTTGAGTAAGAGCAGTATGGATTTGATTAACAACAATTAAGTAGATATCTGAATTCATATCGATTATAAGATGTCAACCATGTAAGCCCTACACTGAAGCTATAAGCAGGCATTGAGCATACATTAAAGAAGGAGACTATTGTGTTTGTAGATCAGTTTGGTTTAATGCCATGAAGAAGAAAAATGAACAATATATTCCTGAGTAAACAACCCATGAGAAGATATCCGGGGGAGCAAAGGATAGGTAGTACACTATTATTTGCGGGAGGAATGTTGAGCTTGGAAATAGAAGTGTGAAAGAGAAAAATATGTAGTACAAGTCTGTTCCTTAATTAACTGCTTATCAATTATTTTCTCCCACCTTGTGCAAGTTTTGTGGTTCACAATAATATGATTTGGACATTGCAAGTATGGTTGAGTGGCATAGGGTGGCCTTTGGTCCACTAGCAGTAACACCAAAGTGACCTGGAGATATATTCAACCCTTAATAAAGCCGGTGATGTACATGTGAGCTTATGCTTAGAAGATCACAAGTAACATGATAGAATTCTGAGAGTTGGATATGAAGTTCTTGAGAGGAAGTAAGTCTTACAAAGTATGCTCATTTGATCAAGGTTATTTAAGATCGAGTAAAACTTGTGTATGAGTAGGTTAGACTAGTCTCTCCGATAAGATCAAACCAAGGGTTAGCCATGTTTCTCTTTGCTTTAATTTTGGATAAGTTTGAAGATATACAAGAGAAAAGAACCATGGTTTATGGTTTATGCTTTTGGTCAATTATAGGTCCACGATTACACTTGCATATGTATTGATGTAAAGCTAGATTCAGGAAACTTAGGTTTTGAATTGATACAAACTAAAATAGAGTGCATGAAGTCCATCTTTACCTATGTTGATAGTAAGTTGGAGATGTGGTAAGCAACTCTAGACAGGATGTGTCTGGGAGGATATGTTTTTTCACAAGATGTTACAAAAGGACAGGATTATTGATGAAGAAAATGAGGCCAATGTGGTTAGAGTGTTGGGTGAATTTACTGGAAGGCGGTTAGCCCTATGTTTTATTGGCAGAAAGATCTGAAAAGTGTACATGAAGTGCAAGCGTTGAGATCAATGTATAGGAGTGGAATTGAGGATGTTCTAATGACGGTTAGGTAGACATCAATTTTTGAGGGAAGAAAAGAACATTATCCAAGAGGAGCAGAGAGATTTGGATGCGCTTACAAGAGTGGGATACTTATACCAAGAGGAGAGTTGGTGGATAATTTAAGAGAAGTAGTCAGGAGGGATTCAAACGACCAGATTATACCAAATGACATGGTGTTAGATAGGAGAAAGTCGATAGATGATATTCTTGTCTTACAGATTCATACTAAGCATTTCATCTCTTCTAATTTTTAACGGGCTTCATACCACAACCGTGGAGGTCAGGCATGTTTCGGGGTTGAACTTTGGGGGCATGGAATCACTTTCTGGATGGATATCTTGTTTACATTTGAATCTGGTACCATTTCTAGAACCAATCTTTGATGACAAGCAGATTTTTATGTTTCAAAATGCAGATATTCTGTGTTTGGGAGAAACATGATTTCTAACTTTTTGCCAGAATCACTTTTCAAGAATTACTACATGAAATCAAAGAAACCCCAATGGTTAGTAAAACAATCTTTATATAGTGTGAAGCAATGTAAGAGCATCGTACTATAGTTATAGAATATTGTAATGGTTGGCTCTAACCGAGCCCTACAGGTAGTTATCTCTGAAACCCACGAATGGAAGCAAATATGTAAAGTATTAGTCTCCTTCAATAGTATATTATACAACAGCTAGTCATAGATGTTAATAGGGAAAATTAGTTATAAACAGTGACTAGTTTTTCTCCTGTAATGTTAGGAAAACTCTTATGAACTTCAGTTACATGAAGTATCTTAAAAATATATATACATTTTGCTTTAGTTAACTGTATCTGATGGGTAGTTCAAGTCACACACAAGTTTAAGGTGCTGAATGGGGTCAGGAAAGATGTTTTGGAGACGATGACTGTTAATATTCTTTCTTATGTTCACTGGTTATAGCGTTAAATTTCTAGAATTGCATGGTTTGAAGCTGTGTGCTTTTCAGTTGGATTTGAAGACGAAGTCATGCATAAAGGATAGTCTGTACCGTTTGGCTAGAAGTGCTGAACAACGGCATAACCGTGCAGGTTTAAGTAGTAGCACTGCAGATTATGCAGATATTGGCCGGCCTGTAGTGACTGCAGGAACTAGCAAGTATGATTGCTTATTTCCTTTCTCGAACTACTCTCATTTGTTACTAACTCGATAGCAAGTGACCAACCTCGCTTTATTTGTTTATAGAAATACAAGTTATGGGCCTCCAAAGCGAAAAAAACCATTATGTGAAAACTTGTTATGATCACATAATTTTCTCTCTCAAGTCTCCATTAATTACAACCATGCTCTCAAAGATTTAACTCACACCTTTCAAAGATTTAACCAACCCCTTTCTATGGTCTAAAACAAGTGAACAAAGAAGTAAGGAAAAAATATTCTGGTACTCATTGCAAGCCTGCAAAACTGAGTCTTTTTTTCCTTATTTCATGAATGGTTATATTTCAGGTGCACGGGATTTTTGGATATCGAAAGTAATACAAATCCTATAGATCGGTCATTAGCGCATTTATTGTTTCATAGGCCTTCAGACTCATCCACCTTGCCTGCTTCTTCACCTCTGAAGCCAAGCCCAAAGGTGAGCTCTAACCATTTCTTCTATTTTTTCCATCAATTAACAAACTAAACTCTCCCAATATATCCCACCTGCAATGAGTAGAGTGATTGTTCTTTTTTCTTCAATTAGATTCTGTAATTTTAGAAATTACACATCTGATCTAAATTCTCTTGTATGCCATGAACAGATGCATGGGTTTATCACAAGTCCGCCGGCGGTAAATGTTAAACTAGATTGTCATGAGGAAGCAGCAAATACATGCAACTGATTGCAAGATTGTCGATGACTGAAAAAACTCCCGAGAGTAAACCTGCAAGGTAAATATCTAAAAACAACATTTGATAGTGTTTGTAGTTTAAAATGACCAAGAACACCTAACATACCAAAGGGAGGTATTGTAGTCTTTGGCCTCCTTGGAGGTCAGGGGTTCAAACCTCACCAAACGTGAGGAGGGTGTGTGAGTTTATTTGTTGCATTTTGCCGTATATAAATATTTTATACTTCAAAAAGAAAAACACCTAACATGGATTCATAAGGCTCGTCACACATTAAGTTTATACTGGTTTCTTAAGTATATAAATATTTATATAAGGCAAAACTCATACACACTCCCCGGATTTAGTGAGGCTTGAACCCTTTACCACTAACAAGAAGTTTTTACTTCGCGGTGCATATCATTCATCATGACAGCAAGATCCATACATATATACGTGCGTACATGCATATATACATACATACACATGCATACATATATATATATATATATATATATAAATACGGCAAAAATCAGTTTTATCTTCATGGTAATCACCTAATGACCTGACTTATTTATCTACTCCACAGGCCTTCCCTTTGATTCTTATCTGTGTTTTCGAATTAGATACTTATTTGTGAAGAGATATATGCAGGCCAGCCGTCTTATATGGACATTGGAACATCTACGAGCAACTTTATATAGACATGGACAACCAATGATAAACCTTCATGGAGTCAAATAAGGAGTTTGCAGCGTCCCACCCCAGACCTTACTTTCGAGTGGAATATACTGCGTTCGTTTGGTTTGATCTGATGTTCGTTGTAAGTGTAAATGAATAGGATAAAATTCATTGTAAACCTTTGTAATGTTAACAATTTCCTTGTATAAAGTGGAATGAGATGAACTCAAAGCTATATATATATATATATATATATATATATATATATATATAATCAGAGGTTAAATGAAGACCACAAAGGTCTCTCAGAGGAGGTTCACTAATCAGCTCACACTCCGTGTAACATAAAATACATCATTCTCAAGAATTGATCAAACTGCTTGAGTCGAGTGGGGTAGAGGTGTGGGCACACACAATCTATCCCCTGTCGTGAATAATCACAGCCAGTTTTTGGGTAATTAGGATCGGTCTATACGCTCTCTATTGGTCGGTAAATGTCCAGACCTTTATGGTCTAATCTTATGAGAACACCACGATAGTAAAGCCATCGTGAAAGCATCTCGACCTCGATTCCCCAATGGACGAGTGTACTAAACAAAACATGAAATCATAAAACAGATCAGGATGTAATGAATGCGTCCTCACCATAAAAATCAATATTCCATTATTGTATTGACATTATAGAGTTCTTTTAAAGGATTAGTTATATGCAACAATTTCATAACCATATATGAAACAGTTTCATCAAAAAAAGTATTATATGAAACAATTTCACAAGATTAAATAATTTCATGAAAAAATTTCATAAGATTAAACAATGAAATCGACGGATAATGGTGGTTTGCACGGTTTGTACAAATTAGGTGGTTTGCATTTGATCGCTCCTCTATATAGATATATATAATATTACATATATTCCACATGCTATGTATAGTTGATAATAATTCTCTTATCGAGTCTAACACACACACCCATGTATGGAATGCATATATACAAACACATAATTCGATGTCAATGTTATTATTGGATTTTAATAACTATTAAAAAAGTCTTGTTTGGTTTTAACGGGTCTTAGTTGAGCCCAATATACACCACATGCTCATATGCAATATATGTCTTCTCATAAACACGTATTGGGCTTTAATGGTTCTTAGTGAGTTTTAAATGGATCTATTGGGCTTTAATGGTTCTTATTGAGTTTTTAATAGATCTATTGGAATTTATTTGATTGTATTAAGCTTTAATGGTTCTTATTGAGTTTTTACTGGATCTATTGTATTTTACTGGATCCATTGGATTTATATGGTTGTATTGTGTTGTTATGGATCTATTGGGCTTTATTTGATCGTGTTGGGCTTCAATTGATCTATTGGGCTTCAATGGATCTATTAAGCTTTAATGAATGTTAGTTGGGCTTCAATAGATCTATTGAACTTTAATGAATGTTAGTTGGGCTTTAACGGTTCTATTGGACTTCAATGGATATATTGGGCTTTAATTGATCTATTAGGCTTTAACTGGTCGTATTAGGCTTTAATGGATGCTAGTTGGGCTTTAACGGTTCTATTGGGCTTTAATGGATCTATTGGGATCTAATGGATATATTGGACTTTATTTGATCGTGTTGGGCTTCGATGGATCTATTAGGCTTTATGAATGTTAGTTGGGCTTTAATGGATCTATTGGGATCTAATGGATATATTGGACTTTATTTGATCGTGTTGGGCTTCAATGGATCTATTAGGCTTTATGAATGTTAGTTGGGCTTTAACGGTTCTATTGGGCTTCAATAGATCTATTAGGCTTTATGAATGTTAGTTGGGCTTTAACAGTTCTATTGGGATTTAATAGATCTATTGGACTTTAATGGATATATTGGGCTTCAATAGATCTATTGGGCTTTAACGGTTCTATTAGGCTTTAATGGTTCTTATTGAATTTTTACTGGATCTATTGGGTTTTATTTGGTCGTATTGGGCTTTAATGGTTCTTATTGAATTTTTACTGGATCTATTAGGTTTTATTTGGTCGTATTGGGTTGTTATAGATCTATTGGGCTTTAATGCTTCTCACTGAGTTTTTATTGGATCTATCGGGCTTTATTTAGTCGTATTGGGTTGTTATGGATCTATTGGGCTTTATTTAATCGTATTGGGCTTCAATGAATCTATTGGGCTTTAATAGATGTTAGTTGGACTTTAATGATAATAGTAATAATAAAAATAATTTATACTATATTATAAAGCATTTGATTCAAATTCTTAAGAACAACATTTTAAACATTATGTACTATTAATTAAAGCCAAATTACTTAATTTTCAAATTTACAAGTTCTTTATTACTTTGGTACAAATTATTAAAGCACACCATCTCTCTATCTATATCTCACGATGGATCCTTATCCCCAATCCATAAATTCAATTCCATTGTAATCCTAACACAAACCCTGCTTCGTGCGCCTGCCTTTCTCCCTTTGAAATGTCTCCTCATATTTAAATCATCTCACTCTGTTGATCTAAGCATCCTGAAATGTCTCCTACTATTCAAATGTCCCCTCACTCTCTCACTCTCATCCCTTGATCAAAAGTCTTGGGTAAAAACAGTACTTGAGGCAATTATTGTGGTTAAATATTTCACGAAAAAATGTGGTTCGAGTAGATTGTAGTAAGCGAAGAAAGACAAAAACAGATGGAGATGGTCAAAGAATGGGGTTCCAAGACTATTTTTTGGATTCTTTTTCTTGATAACACCCTCTTCTCCTCTTCTCCAATTATAATCTATCCATTTGTTTCTTTGTATGTGAATTCGGTGTGGATTTGATGGGTCATGAATGCATTTCCAGAGTTATTTGTGTATATCTAGACTTGCTTCGAAATTTTCATTCTTGCAGATGTCGATTTTAGTCTATTGGATTCAAAAATTAAGCCTTGTGCCTTGTGCCATTCTTTAAAGTAGACATAGGTGATTTCTGAAATCCAAGTTTTCTTGTATTTCCTAGATGTAGTTATTGTTAAGAAAAATCATATGATCTCTCATGCCTTAGTGACTGTGGTAGAGCTTCGGTTAGACCACCCATAACAAGCGGTTATGGAGTTTTAGATGCTCACCAATGCAAGAAAGGTAATTTATTTGCCTATAGACTTAAAGCTTGAGGTTAGCAAGGTTTGTATGCTGCTATATCTAACCATGTAATTACAGTCATATTTTTCTCCTCATCATAATTTTCTTTTTTATCATCAGATATGTTCCATATTTGGTTATATCATATAGATTTTTCTTTTAAAGTACATAAAAGATCTCCATGAGCAAGTTAAAGCACGTATGTCACTATGTGCAATACGTTTGATGATTCTTTCGTGCCCTTTGTAAGTATTGCTCTCTTTGCTGGATAAAGCCATTAATGTTCTTATCGAGCAAGGCCTATCCCTTTTCGTAACTGTATATTTTATATGCTTTGAGAAATCATATTGAAAAATGAAATTCTTTATCGTGACCTCTTATGGTTGACAGGTGATTCTCTCTCGATATGTAAAAGACATACTCTTTTTATTGTTATGAATTATAATACGCTTCCATATTTTGCTTTTGAAGTTAACCAATTTTTGTTTTCTTACTAAAAAGTAGAAAACTTTGTTGTATGATCATTCTACATTCTTTCTCTTATGCTTAGAAAATTGTCATTTATCTTATCAGATCATTTCAGCTCGTGCGCTCCCAGTATATTATCGCCTCTCCCAAGGTGACTACTGATTTCCCAAATCTCAAGTTTTGATCCTCTCTCATTGTTGTCTCGAATTCTCTATCATCGCTCGATTTCTCCATCTTGGTCTTCTCTGCTCATGTCTTGAACTCTCTTTGCTCCATTGCCTCAAATTCTAGGATTTGGACTCATTTTATTTGTTTTCTTTACGTTTTGAGTAATATTGTGCTAGTTTGCCTTTAATTTACCAAGATCATGAGGTGTTATGATGGTGTTTGTGATTTTGTACGTCTTTAAAGAATTTAAACTTAGAATTCTGTATTGTAATTGCCGAAAAAACGAGGATCTTAATTCCTCCTATCGAGTTCCTAAAGTTTTTTTGTTATGGACGGTCTACAAGGCGAGTCGTAGCACTGTGAGGATGTTTATTTTATTGCAACTTATGCTCTAATTTCTAAATAAAGTAGAGTTACATTCAAATTGTAGGATTGAGTTCAATCTTCAAGTTGTTTGTTTCTATGTTTGGATGGTGATTAAACTTTTGTCAAGATCCCACCTTTCTATCACGGACTCTAAAGTATCTTAATTGTGGTAAAATTTTGGATTAAGTTATACAAAAAGATCTTATAATCTTTAATTTGACAGTTGGGTTCACGTGAGACCAAGGGTTTTTCGTGAGACCCGTAAGACCAGTTTATGTTCATTGATCAACTTTATAAGCTAATTATCTAATGGTCTAAAGTTGCACGATGACAATTTTGTGATTATTGAGAAGTCTCGTGGCGTTTATGAATGTTCAGATTGTCAAATTGTTGATCTAATCCAAGAGTTGAGAATTGGTCTTACGGGTCTCACGAAAAACTCTTGATCTCACGTGATCCCAAGTATATATATATATATATATATATATATATAGAGAGAGAGAGAGAGAGAGAGAGAG